CAATGGGGTTAAGTGACTTGCCCAGGGTCACACAGCTAGTGAGTGTTATGCGTCTGAAGCCGAATTTGAACTCGGGTCCTCCTGACTCCAGTGCCGGTGCTCTATCTACTGCGCCACCTAACTGCTCCCTAAATTTGAATATTTTGAGATTCTTCACTAACATATTTTTCAACATTATTTTTTAAGTCTTTACCCAATGATTCATTGGGGCTGTTATAATTTTAAAAAATAAAGTAAAATAATTTCTAAAAATTTCATATTTATATTCAAAAGTCATTATATGTATATATATATGTATATATAACTACTAATACCTGATACAAATGTGTAATATTTCACACATGCATGCATTTGTCACAGAGGAAAAATATTTGTAGTATAATTGGACAATTATGTACTGTTTAAGGTGCCATTAAAGAATTTTTAGTGTGAATCTCTTGGACCATTGGATTAATAAATGGCAACCACTGGCCTAAGAAATGTAAAATCTTAGTGTAACTAGCCAGTGTCAGACCTTAGAATTGACATCTTCCTTCCTGTGGCACTGAAATAGGTTTTTATAGCCTGACTGAAATTTCATCAATTAAGGATTTAATATTCTTCTTTCAACAGGACAATAATGAACTCCTTGACAGTGTAACATGGCTCCGACTTTACTTTCCCAGAGTGAGGTTCACTATATCTTCAGTGTTCTAAAAGTATCCTTGGGAATTTTTCAAGTGGCTTCTCCAATATTATTGGCTTAAGTTCCTATCCTAGTGTGTTCTCCCTAGTATTGATTGGTTGAAAATCATTAAATGTCTGACAGCCTTAAATAACTTTTAGAAACAGATATTTACTAAGGTTATATAGTAAGAAAAATTAGTATGAAACCATTCCCCCTAAAAGTCCATGTCCCACTTTTATATAGCAGTATATACTGAGTTGAGGGGAAAATGGGCTCAAGCTTACAGAGTTCATGTGACAAAGGGATGTGATACTTCATAGGTCCTGGTTTCTGGGAACCTCTTTCTCTTCTTTTTGGGCTGCTCAAGAAGTTCCACTTAGATATGGTATAATTTCTTAGCACGGAGTCTTGTGGAACTTTAAGTCTGTCTGCACATCTTGTCCTTGACTCCCAATGCAGACACTAAGACCAGCTGATTCAGGGATGCTGCTAGAACACTTGTGGACAGATAAAAAGTCCAAAATCCTCTGGACCTTTCCAAGCTTGCAAGATCTTCCTCCAATCTAAGCAGGTCAGGGGAAGACCTAGACTGCGGATAGAGCCAAAGTCTCTTCTTACTCCTCAAATGATTCCTTCTAAAGAGGTTTAGCTGGAATGCCTCACTAGTTTCAACCTCTTGAATGGCTCCAGTTCTCAACTGCTTATCTTGTAAAATTAATTTGTTTAATACCTAAGTGTAAGACTTTATATTTATACTTACTGAATTTCATTTTATTAGATTGAGCCCTGTGGTCTAATCCAGAGTTTCTTAACTTAGGATCTGCAGACTGGGAGAATCTGTGATATTCTGGAGAATCCAAGAACTCAAATGAGAAAAAACAAGTCTTTATTTTCACTAGCCTCTAACTGAAATGGACTAATTCTTTCAATTATGAATAAAAAAAAATATCCCAAGAAAAGATACACAAGTTTCACTGGATTGTCAAAGGGACGGTCAAAAAATGGTCAAAAACCCTGTCTGTCAAGATCCTTTTGGACCTTGATTGCCATTTAATATGTCAATGATCTCTCCCAGCTTTTATCATCTACAAATTTGACAAGCATACCATTTATGCTTTTATCTAAGTCACTAACAAAAATGTTAAATAACAGAAGGTCAAATAGATTTTATTCCATTGGAGACTTCCTGAATTGATATTAAACTATTTAAACTACTCCTTGAGTCCAACTATCTAATTTCCAGGGGTGTTTTGGATATAGCTTGAACCAACTTTTGAGAGTTAATTGTTAAATTTTCATTATGAGTATTTACACCTTGGAAATTAATAAATGCTGTTGTTTACTTATTGTTTTACTGATTGTCTAGACTTAAAAATGATGGAGAAAATTTTAATAATGCAGATTAAACTTAAGATTGAATCATAGGCTCTCCCTGGAGAGCCAGTTGTTAAACATTTATCAGCATATCCCTATGTCTAGACAAGTCTGAATCCACCCAGCATATTATCCTCTAGTATAGAGCTGTCATACCCCATCCCTCCCAAATATAATACAACATAGAAAATGATATTATAGTGTTCTAAGTCAATAGCCCACAAGGATCCATTTCTATTTGAGTTTGACACTACTGATCAGGTCCACATCTTTAGCTTTACAATAGCGTAAAATACTTTATTAAAACTTTGCTAAGATCTAAGTAAACCGTATTCATAACATTCCCCTCCTTTACTAGTTTAGTAATCTTGTTAAAATAGGAAAATAAGGTTAGGCTGAATTGAATTGTTTAAAGTTTTTAAAAAAAATTAACGAGCATTTCTTTTTTTCTCCCACTCACCTATATTCCACCGAGAGGGAAAACAAAACTCTTGTAACCAATATGCATTGTAAAGCAAAACAAATCCCCACACTGGCCATGTCTAAAAATGCATATTTCATTATCTTAACCATCATCTTTTCTCTTAGAAGATGAGTAGCTTCCTTCCTCATCAGGCCTCTGGAATTATGATTATAGAATAATATAGGGGTACACAGGTAAATATTTAACAACTAGGCTTTCCAGAGAGGAAAATGTGTGCACATTAATTTTCATCTGCATTACTAATACTTTCTTAAGTCCAGAACATCAAGAAAACAATAACTCAAACCCTGATTTGTAGATTTCAAGGTTTAAATCCTCATGCTGAAAGTTTAACAATGGGCTCTTCAAGTTCGAGCTAATTACAGCTTACCCCTGGGAGAAGGACATATTTTTAGTTGTGTGAAAAGATCTAATCTTGTATCTCACTGACCTGAAACAACTTTCCAATGATCAGTTCCTCTGTTGATAGCTTCCATTTATATAGCACTTTAAGATTTGAAAAGCACTTTATAAATATACCATTTAATCTTCACAACAGTCCTGTGAGGTAGGTGCTATTATTATCCCCATTTTACAGTTAAGAAAACTGAGGCAGACAGCGGTTAAGTGACTTGCCCAGGCTCACATAGCTGGTAAGTATCTGAGACTGAATCTGAACTCAGGGCTTCTTGGCTCCAGGTCTGGCAATCTATCCGCTGGGCCACCTAGCTGCCATCATCTGGAAGTGTTTCAAAGACTTTTTCTTTTCAGCCTCAGCAAGGCTTTCACCTTTCATTTCTTGCTCAGGTTCCTTGATCACTGAACTCATTTGAAGCCTTCACTTCCCAGATCCTTTCCTGAGCTTAATCTGTGATACCTAATCTTTATTACCCATCCTCTTGCCACCATCACCATTTGGGGCTTTGGTGCTGGTTCAGATCCTGGGTTTCCTATAGGAAGCAGAAACTCATCCACCAAATCTCAGTTCCTATGGAGTAGCCCATCCCTCACTGTAAACAGACACTCACTCTTTGGATTTTTACTTTAATAGAGCATAGACATTTATACCCCTCCTTTACCTTTTTGCTTTTATGGGCAAATTATAGCAGGCCAGGACACACATACTTGGAGGAGTACAGTATACCATGTAGAGAGAAGATGCATTAACTGAGCTCTCTAATTTCCAGTCTCCTGACACTATGCAGCACTTTTCCATGTGATCTCCCTGCGGAGGTTCTTGAGTTGAGTTTCTCTTCATTTCCCTCTCCATTCCCTCCACCCTTTGCAGCAATTTGTTCTGCTTTCCTTCCCTCCTCTTGCTAACTCAACACACATCTTGTCTTTTCTCACTTTGAGTAAGTGTAATCAACAAACATTAATATAGGGGTATTTTTTGGTTGTTGTTTTTTGGGGCATATTTGAATGGAAAAGGGTGATGGGATATTCCAGAATGTTCCATAATTTTTCTCATTAAAAATGAATGGAAATAGCATTTTTTCAACACATATTTTTGCTTTATAGATAGTTTTCATAGAATGGATTATGTGTGTGTTTATGTGTGTGTTTAAGGTAAGAGTAAATGAAGGCCAGGGGCAGGGGGACTTGAGGAATACAAATTAAAGAAAATCTTAGCTTCTGGAGAAGATGCCAATAGTTTATTTGAAAAGGCCTAGGTATGTATATACAAATGTGTATGTTATTACATAGGTGTATAAAGATATGTGTGGATTTTAAGTCTGTAACAAGTAACAGACTTATTGAACCTGGGAAAAGTAGTGAATTGGTTTGCCTCATTCAGGTTTACTCGGTCTAGTATCATATATAAAAGTTAGATACATGTACATGTGTAGTACTGGCTGGAACTTGTTGCCTGGGTAAAAATCCTTTCAAGGGGTTTGAATGAGTTCGGTGTAATAGCTGAGATAGCCACCAGATGGCACTCTCCTCAAACTGTAACTCCCGGTATGGGGACTATGGGTATAAACTATCAACTTGTTAACAAGCTGTCAAATAGGTAGCTGTTAGCCACTAGGTAGTCAAGTCTGTGATCTCCTGAGTTGTTTCCTTCACAAAGATGTCGATTTTGTGTTTGACTCCCAAAGTGGCTTTACGCCTTATTCCTGAGTTCCAACCCAGAGAATGAGATGCAATATGAAATGATATAAATCCTTACAATTTTCTGGATCTGTTCCTCCCTATGGAAAGGAGTGATGGAAAGAACCCTGGATGTGCATTAGAGGACCTTGGTTCAGATCCCAGATTTGTGTGACCTTGGCTAGTCACAAGTCCTCTAGGCAATTCTGACAATGGGAATGTAAGCACCGTGGCCAGCTGGCATTTGGGGGTTAGGCAGACCTTGTAGAGCTCACCAAATCATCCAGAAACACTGCTGATGACAAATTAGAAGGTTTCATTATAGCATACTGTCCCAAGAGGGCTCCAGAGTTCACTGGTTAAGGCCACTCCCCGAGCATTCTGATACAAAGAACAAGGGTTCTTGGTTTTATAAGCAAAAGTGAAAGCAGCACCTCAGATTGCTCTACCAACTGAGTGGAGAAGATCTTTTCTACTTCTCTGGGAGAAGGTGAGTCTTGGGAATGGTCTGGGGAATAGCAGGGGATGTGGGAAGAGATTTGATGGGTTAGAGGAGTCAGGGACGGGAACACAGGAAGAAAAGGAGCAGGGATCTCAGAGCTTGGGATTGTGAGAGGAAGGGTGGGTCAGTTTAATGCATATGTTTAGCCAATTTGTCAGCCTGCCTCTTCCTATTTAATAGCATTCTTTCACTGTACATTACTGAAGGGAATGGTCCATGTTACAATGAGTTTTAGAAAAAAATATTCTCCTCATGATTACTCTTCCCCTGAATGATTATCTAGGACTGGACATATTCACCTGTGCCCTACACACATGCTAAATATGAGTAGAATTTTGGACGAGGAAGATGGGGATTCAAATCTTAGTCTAGACATTTACTGGCTGTGTGACCTTAAGTCACTTAGCCTCCCTGGACCTCAGTTCTCATCTGTAACATAAATTTGGATTTGATAGTTTCTAAGGTCCCTTCCAGCACTAAATGGAGAGTAGCAGTGGATGAGACCGCCCTGCTCAGCTCTAGCCCAGAGTCTAAATGGCAGCTTTACTGTGTGCTCAGGGAGGCCATGGAGCCAACCTGAGGTGACTGGGAGATCAGGACTAACCTTTGCTCTATGGGGCAACTTTGCCCCAAACACCCTAGTGCTTCAACAAGAAGCCATTTAAGGGAGAGGGGCTGGCTGGTTGCCTGGCTGCTCAGACTGAGCCTCATAAGGTGTCTGAATTTTAGTGGGGTCATCACTGATCTAAGGCCTGGGGGAACCTCAGCTTTCTAGGTTCAAAACCTGAGTGGCATCTGTATCAGTGAGGAGTAATTAGACCTGAGGATACTGATTCAGGGAAACTAAACTCACAAGAGACTAACTGCTGAATTAGAATGACAATTGATTTCAGGCGGGGGAAAGGTTGTTCCTGTAAGATAACAAACACAAATCCTCCAGAGAGCAAGTGTACTGATTCCTGTCTTTACAAGTGTTAAAACAAATGCAGATCTGTGTCTTTTTTTGCCTTTCCTCTTCCCCAAGCCTGCTACCTCTCCACTGCTCAAAAATGGGATCCAGCTCAAGTAAATCTGCCAGTTCAGTGAGTATCACTTTTGTCAATTCCTTGTACTCTGGTGACTACAACTCCTGCACAGACTACACAGAGGCATAGAGTGTCTAGGCTGATAGAGCTTGTCTGAAGTCAATTTGTTTCTTTCCTTTCTCCATTTGACATCTACATGACTCAGACAGATGGAGGTTAGCCCCACAGAGACAATGGAGCAGTTTCATTTCCAGGTCTCCCCCAGATCATGGCAAGAGCGTATTTCCATGAAAGTAACCTAATCAATTTTACTTTATTGGGTAGGAAATTCTAATGGCCCAATAATAAATTTTTGCAAACACATTAGTTCTATGCTGACCTCTAAGTAAATTATAAAAATAAAACTCTGAATATATAAAATTTAGCAACACGTCAAGAACTCTGTCCTCAGGTGAATTACGAAGTAAGAGACAGGGATTTCTAGTGATTTTCCAGCTTCCATTTTGTGCCTTTCTCTCTTAAGAACCCTCTTTTGTACTTTGTGACTCTTTCTGGATGAGCTAGGACTCCCCACTAAGAAGCCCTACAAAACAGGCAAATCTGCCCCCTCTGCGTTTCCTTCCTCTCTTCTCTGTTACATATATGCCACATTCTCACCTCTCATTTAGCATATCATCAGATCAGTTTAAAAAAGCCTAAGGCATTAATAGCTGATAATAATCTAATGAGCTTCGCTTTTTTGAAAACATTCTTTGCATTTTAAGTTCTTCAGTGCTTTAAGCTAGAGAAATGACTGGAAGTGGGAGATATCTTGGGGCCTTGTCAATGCCTTTCTTTCTCCCTCCAAGAAAGGAAATTGTGTCATTAAGGCTACTCCTAAGTCTGCCTATGTGAAAAAAGAGTGATTTCTGGCAGTACTATTAAGTCTTTGATTTGTAAACTGTTAAAATTGGAAAGGACATTAGGAGTCATTTTGTCCAACCCCTTCAGTAAATATATGAGAAATCTGAGACCCAGGGAACAGAAGTATATGTGCAAATGACTGTGCTCTGAGGCTCTATATGACAAATTCCAGATGAGTAGTAAAAAGTGCCATATGAATAGCACCCTTGACCTTGCCACCATCCATCAGTCCTCTATGTCCAAGTTGATAAATTCTAAGATTTTCTTATCTCATCACAATCAGATGTCATCCCACCTCTCCCTCTGCCTTTCAACTCCAGCCCCTGTTCTTTATCTTCACTGTGATCCTCCATCATTATGCCCTTCAGTTCTCTGCCAGGCCATCAACCCTGAATTGGCTGCACTCGCCTCCCTACCCTATCTAGATCCTTTGGTGAACCAGTTCAATTCTAGACTGTTCTTTTTTTTTGAGTTTCTCATCCCCTTATCCTATCATCCATCTTGCCCTGCCAAGCCTCAGCCTTGTATTACTCCCGCCATCTTCTTTGAGTCAAATCTTGTGCTGCTGAAAGGAGCTGGAAAAACCCCCAAACCATGCTGACTAGGTCCACTACTAATTTATGGTACATAGTCTCAACTGAGACCTCACTACAAGACAATCCTCCAGGCAGTGGCTTTTAAAATACTTATGGCCCAGGAAGGGATAACTCAGCAAGCTATTTTCTGCCATTAGTATTAATTAGCTTATCAGAGATTAGCAAGTCAGTCACCTATCTGGACCCTAAGGAATAGAACATAAAGCAGTAAAGTTTTGGTAGGGGGAGAGGAGAAGGAAAGATCTAGAACCTTCAGCCACAGTAGGGGAAGATCTGGGCAGTCCAGGTCAACCTGACAACGCTGGACATTTGTTTCAGGGAGACCAAAGAAAGGATGGAGCTCATTAAAGAGACATCAGAAAGCACTGAAGAGAAATGTTGCTAACTTTATGGCTTTGACAGGGGTGTCTCCTAGCCTGAGAACTGAGGAGAGGAGATGAATGGACTTGTCCTCCTTTCTGGTCCTAGGCCAGGAGCAGAGGCCCATAAAGCCAGAAACTAACGGTTTAGCCAATAGTTTCACCCAAAACAATTTCACCTTCAGGAACATCAAAAGGACTAGATTTGGTTGGTGGATAAGAGATAGAGATAATCATTGGAAAAACCCATATTTGGTGAGTATGTAATATGTGCCCCCTGCTGTGTTAGACACCGTGGAGATAGAAAACAAGGAGAAGATGTGGTCCTTGCTTTAGGTCTAATGGGGGAGAAAAGATGAACACACATGAATCAGGACAAAGCCCTTATTAAGTGCTGTCTGTGCTGGGCACTCTGCTGGGCACTGGGACTACAAAGAGAAAAATAAAGCCCTCAAGAAGCTTGCCTTCTAAAAGGGGAAACAAAACTGCCTGTATAGCAAGAGGCAGCTTCATATGGTGGATGGGGCTCTGGAAGGCATGGATTCAAATTCTGCTTCAGAAACTTGCTATGTGAACCTGGGTTAGTCAGTCACAATTTCTCTGTGCCTCAGTTTCCTCATATGTAAAATGAGGGGCTCAGACTGTGACTACTAAGGTCCTTTTTCATCTCTAGATCCCTGAACATAAGAAACTGATACCAAATAAATACCAGGCAGTTTTGGGGGTGGATCCATCATAAATCGAAGTTACAGAAGGTTCGCGTAAAGGAGATGGCATTTCATTTTTGCATTGAAGGAACCGAGGGTTTGTAAGAGGTGGCAGTGAGGACAGAGTACATTTCAGGCATGGAAGACAGCCTCTAAGCCCGTAGGGGACAAACTGTGACTTTTGCTACCTCCCCTCATACATGCAAGTTTTCAAGTCTGTCTCTCAAGGAAATTTATTTCTCCTTAGTTATTAACTTTGCCTGTGATTAGAGAAAACTGCCAACAGTTTGAGGTGGTGCCTCAAACATTATAATTAAATGACAATAACCATGTAGCAAGCATTGAAACAAAACTGATGACTAGTTCTAACTTGGTATCTTTCCCACTAAGCTCTAACGCATCAAGTTACTAGCTCACATTTGTGCAGTAATTTAGGTTTTGTGAAGGATTTTACAGATCTTAACTCAGTTTATTCTCACAAGAACCCTGCGAGGTAGATGCTGTTCTTATCTCCATTTTGCAGATGAGGAGACTGAGACAGACAGGTAGGTTAAGTGACTCACTGAGGGTCACACAATTAGTAAATAGCTGAGGCTACTTTTAATCTCAAGTCTTCCTGAATCCAGGACATCGCTTTTATCAGCTTTTCCTGCCTTCAAGTCTGGCACTTTACTGGGCCACCAGCAGCCTTACTTATTGATTCTATTCTTTAATGTCTTTTCTTAATTTCCAGACCATATGGGATGTTTCTTTGTAACTCAGCCCACTTCTGTTGACATTGAGCCAAAAGTCAGTATACCTAGAGGTATACACAGTTTTAAGGGTCTAAGGATATAGGCTAACTAGGCATCTGAAGCCCAGCTATTTCTAACAACTTCCCTCCTGTAGCTGCCTCTCCCTCACTCTTCCTTATTACCTAGATGATGGGGTTTTCAATCAGGCAAATTTATCCCCACAGATCCCTGGTGACCATGAGCCTGATAATGCCCTGAGGATTGTCCTGGTTGGGAAAACTGGAAATGGAAAAAGTGCATCAGGGAATACCATCGTTGGGGAAAAAAGCTTTGTGTCTGAAATTTCACCCAATTCAGTGACCCAGAGATGTACAAAGATAACCAAGAAACAGGAATCCAAGGAAGACCTTGTGGTCGTTGATACACCTGGGCTGTTTGACACAAAGCACAGCCTGTGGACCACTTCTGAGGAGATCAGTCGCAGTGTTATCTTTTCTTCCCCGGGGCCACACGCCATCATTTTGGTTCTGCAGCTAGGACGCTATACAGATGAAGAGCAGCAATCTGTCTGCTGGATCAAGGGGCTCTTTGGGCCTGATGTCACAAAGTACATGGTAGTCTTATTTACTCGGAAAGATGACTTGGAAGATCAGACACTGGACGAGTTTTTGCAAGGCTCTAGTAAGAACCTCAAAACACTCCTCCGAGAGTGTAAGGGGCGATACTGTGCGTTCAATAACAAGGCCCAGGATATGGAAAAAGAAGCCCAAGTGGAAGAGCTGATGGAAATAATAAAGAAAATGAGGCAGGCTAATAAGGGGGCATATTTTTCACATGCCATATACAAGAAAACTGAGGAAAAACTAAACCAAACAATAGAAAACCTTAAGGCAGAGTACAAGAAACATTTAGAAAATGACATCTGTGATGTGAAAGAAGAATATGCTAAGAAGGAAAATCTCACAGATAAAGACAAAATGAAACAAGATTCTAAAATAAGTGAACTGAAGCAAAAATATGATGAAAATATTAAAAACATAAGAGCAAAGGCAGAGCAAGAGACAAGTATACTGAGAGAAGTGACAGAGATAATTAGAAAGATGATTATTAATATTTCAGATTGGTTCCAAAAGTTTGTGTAGGAGCTTTAAAAAAAATGAACCTACTTTCTTTTGTTCATAGCTATCCCTAATTTTATGTAAACTTTATTTATATATAGAATTGGGTCTTGATTCCCTTCATATCACTCAAAGATAAATATTTTTTCAAGGCATGACACACTAGCTGTGGAGGACTGGAGCTCCCTCTAGTGATGTATCACATTATAGCTCCCAAAATGAAACGCCCCTCTTCTTTTATCTGAGCCTTTACTAGCCATGTGTCTAGAGACCTGAGCCCCAAACATAGAGTATGGGGGTCAGCCACCTCAAATCCTCCATGTAAGTGGATAGGTAATAAATCACAACTAGATGTAAAGGTTTAAGTCAGTAAAGGAGAGCCAGAGGCTCTCTGAGCATGGCAGAAAAGTCTGAGGTCCGAGGAAGAAATTAGTGGACGACATTCTCATTTATTTCCTGGTTTTTATGCTTATTTTCTCAAATTGTTTCAAAGCTTTTTTATTCCTGACTCTCCAGGGTCTGACCGTTAGTCCCAGAATCTAAAGAAGTCTTCCTTGTCTATGATTAATTCTATGTCTCCTTCGTACACTTTAAAATACTTTTTTCTTTCCTCCTAAACAACCAGTCCCGCTTTTCACTTTCATCATGTCTACTGCTTTGCCCCATGTAGAATGTAAGGTCCTGGGAAGTAGAGATTGTTTCATTCATTGTACTTGTATTTCTAGTGCCAGCAGTATCTGCCATATATTGTCATTGTTTAGTTATTTCAGTTGTGTCTGACTCTTTGTGGCCCCATTTGAAGTTTTCTTGGCAAAGATACTGGAGTGATTTGGCATTTCCTTCTCCAATTCACTTTATAGATAAGAAAACTAAAGCAAACAAGGTTACGTGACTTGTCCAGTGTCACACTGCTAGTAAGTGTCTGAGGTCAGATTTGAACTCAGGAAGTTGAGTAGCACCACCTAGAGAAAAGAGGCTATGGGAAATTCTCTGACTTGAGAGTTTTTGATGTCAGCCATTCCTCCATGGTCTTCTCATGAGGTGGCTTAAGAGTCATAGGCTTTTGTTCACTTAAGTCACCAGGAGGCCCCAGGTGCTAAGAACATGAGAAGAGAAATCAGAACCTGCTCTCTCTCACCCTCATCAGGAAATATCTATTTTTCTTTTGACTGATCTAGCTATAGAAGCCAAAGACTACCCCAGTGAATTGGGTGGGGTATCTGTTGAATGAAACTCAGAGGCTACAGTTGAGAGCCAAGCATATTCTAGACTATGGAAGCTTTATGAGATCAAGCACACAGGTCTCTAAGAGAGCACACATCCTTTCTGTACTTAAGATTTCTCCTCTGCAGCATCTCCTCAAGCCTATGAAGGGCCCGGACAGCATGTCTCACCTCCATTTCTGTAGTTCTGCGATGCATCTGAGTGTCAGAGAGGTCAGGAGTATAGCCCTACGGGACGATGCAGGGGGGAGGAACAGAGAGGGAATTCTTCCCTCTGGGGACCATAGAAGCAGACTCAGGCAACACCAAGTCACCTAAGTGTGCTTTGGGACTCCCAGCCTTCCCCTTCGTGTACCATTTTCCTTCCCTGATGCTACTGTTATCTTGTGTAGCCTCCCTCTTCTCCCCCCACTCTCTTTAAGTCCCCAGTGCACTAATTTATTGTTGATGGAGTTGTGAAATGATTCAACCATTTTGGAGAGCAATCTGGAATTGTGCCCAAAGAGTTATTAAACTACCTATACCCTTTGACCCAGCAATACTACTACTTGGTCTATTTCTAAAGATGATTAGGAAAAAGGAAAAGAACCTATATGTTCTAAAATGTTTATAGCATGTCTCTTTGTGGTGGCAAAGATGTGGAAATTGCAGGGATGCCTATCAACTGGGGAATGACTGAACAAATTGTGATATATGATTGTGATGGAATACTACTGTGCTGTAAGAAATGATGAGCTCAATGATTTTAGAAAAACATGGAAAGACTTGCATGAAATAATGAACAGTAAAATGAGCAGAACCAAGAGAACATTGTATATAATAACAGCAATATTGTTTTAAGAACAACTTTGAGCAAATGTTACTTTGTGTAATGTAAACACACAAATTAACTGTAAAGGGCATATAAAGAAAGATGCTATCTGCAACCAGAAAAAGAACTGATAAATAGAAGTATGTATGGAATAATTTTACATACATATACATATTTGTGTATAATGGTTTTCATCTCTGGGGTGGGGGGGGGGGAAGGGAAGAAAAAAGAAGAAAAAGAAAGAAATTTACATGATAATTTCATTGTATATTTGAAAGGAATAGGAGGTTGTACATAGTAGATTGGCAGTTTTATATGCAATCATCTTTTTATTGTATTATGTTATGGAAATGCTTGTTTTATTCCATAAATTACAAATAAAAGCTCCCAATGCCTTTAAAGTCTTCTCTGTACTTTCCAAGTCCATTTTCTAGACAGGTTCCATTCTTTGTCCTTCACTTCTCCCTGTCTGTGAATGGACGTCTTCCCTCAGTCTCTCACCAAAGGGAATTTGGATTTTGGTACCTGCTCTGCTCCCACCTGCAAGACTTTGGGCAAATAAATCTCTTTCCAACCCTGAGTTTCAGCTTCTTCTTCTGTAAAAATCAGGGGTTGTACTAGATAACTCCAAGGTTCCTTCTAGCTCTAATATTTGGAGTTTTCCTGACTATGCCTCAGTTCAGAGGCAGCACTTCCTGGCCAGCTAGGGCTAGGAGGAAAGTAGCTGAGCTTTGGTGGGCAAGGGAGCATTGGAAGGGACACCCAGCCTTGGGCCAGTAGCTCAGCAGATGTGGTGGGAGAGGTGAACAAAAGAGAGATCTTTGTCCACTTCAGACCTACTTGACTGCTGGCCTAGAGCAATAGGAAGGGATTCTGTGGTCAGTAAACTCCCCTCAGGGGTTATTCTGTCAGCCAATGGCAGATTCTGGGCCTATTCCCTGAAGGGACCAGATCTTCCATTCACAAAGGAAAGAGGGTAGGGTTGGAAAGAGATAAAAGCTGGGATGTCCCAGAGTTTTTGTGCTGATGGAACTAAATGGCCTTTGGTACCATTTACCGTTCACTTTTCAGAGGTTTCAGGGTCTCATTTTTATGTAAGAAGGCAAAGCTGGACGCATCAGGAGTGATTCCCGTTTGGCTCTGAGATTCAGCAGGGCCAGCTTTACACATAAGGAAAGAGGTGTTCTGTCAGAATCTATAATTTCAGGAGCTGTGGAACTTCCCCACCCCTACAAGTTCTTCTCCTTGTTGGCTTATCCCTGAATTCCCTTTAATAAAGAATAAAGTCTCCATTCAGTCCTCCATACAACTGTCTAATTGCTATTCCTAACACACAGATCTGACCATGTTATACCTGCACTCAAACATCTTTAGTGGCTCCCTATTACCTCTAACAAACTCCTCTATTTTACAGGTAAGGAGACTCTGAGAGG